TTATTCTATATTATTATTGCGTTTTGAATCTTGGCAATTAATAAATGTGGAAACAGTTATGCAATATCTGTGGCACAACTGTTTCCACATCTATTAGCTGCCAACATTTAAAAGATAAGAAAATAGGCAGAAGATTACTACATCGGTTCAACAACAAAACTTTTGTCCAAGATCATCTGTATGTTTTTTTACTCCAACAATATCTATCCAATATCATCTGAAAACTCAATGACCTCTACAAACATTTTTAAAAAGATGTAACTAAATCAGTGAATTTTTCTTCAAGTCCAATAACATCTGGAAGAATTTCTTCCAAATGTAATTGCATCTGAAAATTTTTTTACATCTAACTACATCGGTTAAAATAATGCATTGTTAGTAAATATTTTTTTCAGATGTAATTAAATCTGAAAAAAATCATGTAACTACACCTGGTTAAAATAATGCATTATTATTTAATAACTTTTCCTGATGTAATTACATTTGAAAAAAATCCTGTAGTTATTTTTAAATACTTAAAAATATGTAACTACATCTGTAGAATCCATAGATGTAGTTGCACAGATCTAGTTTTAATAAGTGCTTATCAGAGTCTTGTTTTCCAGCCTGCTGGAAAGCAGCATGTGTTATCCCTATTTTTAAAAATTCTGAAGAGCGATCCGATTCGTCTAACTACCGTCCCATTAGTCTTCTTCCTATCATAAGCAAGGTTTTTGAATCTTTAATTAACAAACACTTAATCTCTCATCTCGAATCTCATAAACTACTTTCTGATCATCAATATGGATTTTGATCTTCTCGTTCTATGGCTGATTTGCTAACAGTAATAACCGATAGGTTTTATCGCGCATTAGATAAAGGTGGAGAGGTTAAGGCCATTGCTCTTGACATTTCTAAAACGTTTGATAAAGTTTGGCATGCTGGTCTTCTCCACGGTGTATCTGGAAACATCTTTAAGATTATTGAATCCTTTCTTTCCAATCGTAGTATAAAAGTTGTCCTTGATGGACAGCACTCTTATTCTTATTCTGTAACCTCAGGGTAGTCCTCAAGGTTCAATCCTTGGCCCTATACTCTTTTTAATTTACATTAACGATCTTATCCAGATATTCTCACATCTAAGGTGGCATTGCTCGCTGATGATACTACCATTTATTCTTGTCACGATAAGAAGCCAACTCCCTCTGATTGCTTGCAAGGGGCATCTGAGCTTGAAAAGGATCTCACTTCTGCTACAGCATGGGGCTCACAGTGGCTGGTGAACTTTAATTCAGATAAAACTTATTTATGAGCGGTATTGTACTCAATGAGTCTCCTACCCTTCATCTTCTAGGATTAACTCTTACTTCTGATCTTTCTTGGAAACCTTATATCAAATCCGTTGCAAAATTAGCATCTGCTAAAGTTGCTTCTCTTTATCGAGCTCGTCACTTTCTCACTCTGGATTCTATTCTCTATCTCTATAAATCTCAAATCCGGCCTTGTATGGAGTACTGTTGCCATATCTGGGGTGGATCTTCTAATGATGTCCTTTCTCTTTTAGACAAGGTGCAAAAACGCATTGTAAACATAGTTGGACCTGCTCTTGCAGCCAACCTTCAACCTCTGTCACATCATCGTAATGTTGCTTCTCTTTCTCTTTTCTACAAATACTAAAATGGGCACTGTTCTAAAGAGCTATCGTCTCTTGTACCATCTACTAAAATTCATTCTCATGTTACTCGTCATTCAAATAAGTCTTATCCTTTTTCTGTTACTGTTCCTAAATGCTCCAAAAACTCTTATTCATCTAGTTTTTTTCCTCGAACATAAGTTCTTTGGAATTCGCTTCCTTCATCTTGCTTTCCTGATTCATATAATTTGCAATCTTTTAAGTCGTCTGTCAATCGTTATCTTGCTCTACAATCTTTATCTTTTCTCTTCCAGTAACTTCCAACACTAATTAGTGGTTGCTTGCAGCCTTGTTGGAAGCGAAGATGTTAAAAAAAAAAAGTTATTCTTAACATAGTTAAAAAGATGTAACTTTATCTTAAAATCTTTAGTGAAAAGAAAAATTGAAAAGATGTAACTACATCTATAATATTCATATACTTTTTACAAAGATGTTATTTGACATTGATGAAATTTCAGATGTTGTTGGACAGATGTTATTAAATCTCTGTGTATTTACAGATGTTGTCGGACAGATGTAGTTGTACCTCATTATATTTACATATATTGTTGGAAAGATGATATTAGACAGCAAAAACTGAAGTTGCTACCCTGACCCGAAAAATATATCATCTAAACTGTTGTGGATCTTTGCAACTTGTGTGGGCAAATATACATCTTTATCATACATGCGCCAATTCTTATTAATTTAATTTAACCCATGCAAAATATAGTTTGCAGGGTTTGAATTAAAACAAATCCCTTTTTTTCTATTATAGCCAAGTTAAACTTTGCTGTGCACTTGGTGCAGATTTTATGCATACTTTTGTAATTTATTTTTGTACAATCAATACACTATCAGTAAGACTTTGTGTTGATTTAAACCACCAAGTTGACAGATACCGTCAACTTAAAATCAATGCAGATGTGATCTAAATATAATATAACTAAGCAAGTTTTTTAAAAAGATTTTGAATATTATTAAAAATATCAGGAACTTACAATATGAAAATAGTTAAATTTCAATGAAATTTGAATTTAAAAATATATAACAAAACAGTTTAAAAAGGGAGCTTTTAGCTATTTTTGTTCAAGACTTAAAAAGTCAAATCCTAAAATTAAGTCCTGGGATTACGGGATCCCAAGATTTCAAACCTTAACTTTAATAGCAAAAATAAGAAAATGAAAATGCAAAAAAAGTAAAAAAAAAAAAAAAAAAAAACAGTTTTTTTTGTTTAATTTATTTTAAATTTATTAATATTATTTTATTCACTAGTTTATTTCATTTTTATTATTAACTACTATTATTTTTATGTGATTTTTTAGTCTTAAAGTTGTTTTTACATTTATTAATTTTTAACTTAACAAACCAACACATGCTGTGTAAATATTGGAAAAAAAAAGAGTTTATATCACTGTAGAGTTCCAACACATATTTGCCGCAAGTAAAATTTGAATAATTTATGAATCTATGAATTTAGGGCCAACAACACCAGAGGGGCCAGTGCCCCCCCCCCATTTTTTTTTAAAGGACCTTTTGTTTTTTTAAAAGAAAAATCTAGATATAGAGGACTTTTTTTAAAAATTTATGATAGTGCCAAACCCCCCCCCCCAGTTCGGAACCTGTGTTGTCGGCCATGGAATCTACTTACAGTTTTTGTTTTCATGGCCTGTCTCCAAGCATTCAAAATTTATATTTACGAATGGTAAAAGTCTTTAATAATATTTCAATTATTTTTATAAATAAAAACAAATTTAAATTGCTAAAGTTAAAAAAACAAAAACCAAGATAGAAAATTAAGAGCTTTTACAACTTATCAAAGAAAATATTTTAAATTAAATACTTGGCATAATGAATATTGCACACAGAACATTTCCTTCGTTTATATGGGGCTTGATAAACTTTGAAAGGATAACTTTGTAATGCTTGTGGATCATCTTTTGAAACCATTCTAAAAATAATTAAAAAGATTACTTTAATCATCATCATCACCATCATCATTATCATCATCATCATCATCATCATCATCATCATCATCATCATCATCATCATCATCATCATCATCATCATCATCATCATCATCATCATCATCGTCATCATCATCATCATCATCGTCATCTTGATTGTCATCACCACCATCATGAATTGACATATAAAAATGTCATATCACCACCAAATGACATGATATAAAAATCTTTAGACTAGAATAAACATTTTAACTGTTGTACCTAATATATACTTCTGTAAATATACTAGCAATTATGACTAGAGGAGGAAATATATTTTCAAATATAGAAAATAATATAATCTGCAATTTATATTAATTTAGCTAACATTTTCAATATTAAAATTTTCTAATTTAGAAAGTCGATCTAGTGACGTTGTAGTCTACTATGTCACTAGATAAACTTTTTAAATTACAAACTCTTGGTATGGAAAATGATTATTCAAGAATTTTTTTGCTTACAAGATAAAAGGCGCTCTTAGCATGGCTTTAGTTGATTGTAAAATTTTTTAAACTGAAAATTTACTTTAAGGATTTTTTGTAAACTTTTTTTGCAATGTTTATTTGTATTTTTGTTTATACCATTTTATTTGTATTAATAACTACTTTTATTGCATTTATACTCAACTCTTCAATCACGACAGCATCTAAAGTACTACCTCTCTAAAATTAGTAACTATCAATATTAAAAGTTGCATTTTGGCAGTATTGAAATTAATACTGCTTTTTTGTTTGGAAAATTACTTGATCTATTGTATTTAAAAATATGAAAGTTATCATTTGTGATAACAGAGTCTAACAGTTCTAGATAAATCTTACTTGTGGAAAACCATAAAAAACAGAAAACATTTACTGTAAGACTTTATCGATTTAATTTAATAATTATTTAAAAAATAAAAAATTTCAAGTCAGTGCAAAATAATTAGTAAACTGAGAAAACAAAACCTCTAAAGTTTGAAGATGATGATGAAGGAAAACCAGCTTAATGATTCAATTTGAAAAAATTTACATGAAATTATAAATAGTAAAATTGTTTAAAAAAGTGTTTCTGTTTACTTTGTGAAGAAATTTTTAGCTGATCATTTGTTCATAAGTAATGGTGTCATAAGTAATGGAGACTATTTATTATACAATTTATTTAAGTTATTTTAATATTTTGGAAGATTGTTAATGTTAAGGTCCTTATTGGTTTCCCTTTCTGGGTATGTTGAATTTGTATCAATTATAAGCTATTTGTCAATTTTGTATCAATTATAAGCTATTTTTTATAACAAAATTAAACAAATTATTGATTGAGTTTATTAGTTATTAATAAGATATTTGTCTAACTAGGTTACTTTGTATCAACATCATTTCAAAACATTTAACATTTTTTTATTAAAACCTTCACCCAGAAATATAAAAAATTCAGATCACTTAATTTGACCCTTCAACATATATTTTCAATTTCATACTATTTTACAGTTTTTTTTTAGAGGTTTAAAAATAAAAAAATAAAAAAATAAAATTATTTCCTAGTTGCGGTGAAAACATTTATTCAAAGTTTACTAAAAATATTCTCTAAAATAATTTTTCCTTCAGGTCTAATTAATGTTTATCCGGCAATGCATTTATATACAGTTATAAGTGCACTTTAAAAACTTTCTATATTAGCGCTTTCGTAATGGGATGAAAAAAAATTATTGATTTGTCACAATAAATAAATAAACAAAACCATTGAATGTAAAACGAAGATAAAAAACTTGAAACAAATTTATTTATTTCACAGTAAAAAAAAATTTTAAAACAGAGCGTTTTTAAACTTTAAAAACTGGAATAAATTAATTTAATATTTATTAATAAATTTAAGTTAAATATAATAAAATTAATTAAAATTAAAAATTTTTAGAAACAAAAAGTAGAAAAAAATTTCCTTAAACTATCTATTTTTGCTTTGTTTTTGTTTTTTTTAAAAAAATAAAGAATTATTTTATAGTTGCGGTGAAAATATTTATTTCAACAATTATTACTGTCTAATAATTTCCATTTAAACTTTTTCAAAAGATTGTTTAAGGTGGTAGGACTGGAAAAACCTAATTTTTTAAAAACTATTATTATTTCCCAAGAACTTCTAAAAAACTTTTTATTAATTTGCCTCACCTACCCATACTTATATAAAAAAAATAAACCAAAAAATAAGGAAATTTTAAAACACAATATCACAAAATATAATCAACAAATCACAATGAATTTTTGTAGGTTTATTCTTCAACAGTAGATAATTCATTTGAACTAAAATGACATATTGAATCTTAATAGAATAAAAAATATGCATCATTTATTATGTATGCATTAAAAAAAAAAAACCAAATTGAGAATAAAAAACAAATAATAAACAATAAATACATTTAATTATTATAAGATTTTAGTTCAAATGAATTTTATATGTTTACTGAAGATACTGTGAAAATTTCAAGTAAATTGAATTTTTCTAACCTAAGATATCTGGTTTTAAAGTTACAAAATCTTGCAAAAAATCAAAGTTCAATAAAACGCAAAATAAAGTTGTAATATGTTTAAAAATATATATATACAATATATTTAAAACCCTCCTGATACATAAAATGATGTTCTATTTTGACTTTGTTTATCAGTTGTTTATCTTTTTTTTATTGCTCTGAGACTTTTTCTTCTATTATTTACTATTTCACTTGACTTGATCTCCATGCTCTTTACACGTGAAACATTTTGTTCATAAGATTTAGAATTTGTAACAATTTGTAGTGTAAAACTGCTGAATTAATACTCATTTCAAAAGTTTGTTTACAAACAAATATTTTTGTTTGTAAAAAAACATTTAAGGGCAACGAGACCAAACTAATGCATTAAGACTTTCATTTGCATTTTGGGTTTGCCCATGTACACATTTTAACAATAATTCTTCATTTGATAGATCTTTAAACACTGGTTTCAAAAGGTTACTTATAATTACCATAATGTTAAATTAATATGTTCTTTATACTTTGGAGTATTATGTAATTTGTCATATTGATATTGACACCAAATAGTTTCAGTTCTTGGCAAAAGCAGTGGCGAAACTCTTTATTTGAATATCCAGTACAGTGGAACAAAATAGCACATATTGCCTTTTTCATGGCATAAATGTTATTTGTATTACTTCTTATAGCTACCATAAAACCATAACCATAAAAATTTTGCATACTATTAATCACATTTTCTGTCAGTTTATTTTTTCCACCTAGTGGAGTTGACGTTCCTTTGTAACTTTTGATTAAATTTCGTAACCGTGTACCCATTCTTTTTTGTACATGTGCAACACACTCTAACTTTTCAGGAGTTATTTTATAGTCTTTATAGGAATTAGATTTTATTACTTCTTTAAAAGATGAGCCAATCAATTCTCCATCTCCAAGATAATGAGTATAAATAATATTATTATTTTTTAATTGAACATGCAAATATTTTTACAGCACCAGCTGCTTCCATTGACCCAGAAGATTGTTTATGATTGATATGACAGGCATGTTGAGCTTTCCAAGCATTGTATCGTGGTGAAGCTTTTCTATTTTTCCATATTCTACAGCCCATGCAAAATTTTGACATCGCTTCATAATCAATGCACTTATCACCCGCAATTACACTTACAAATCCATTAAGGGAGGTATAGCCGCGTCGCTGCCATGCACCATCAATCTTAACATGCTTCATTATTGTTTTATTATCATCAGTATAGTTATCTTTCATTTCAGTTGTGGCACGTTTCATATTTTCTTTAGCAGTTTTATCATAAGCTTTTGATATTTCTATATTTAGTTTTCTAAATGGAGTAGCTGTCAAACAGTGTAAATTCATACAGCAACTAAAGTTTTTCATAGATTGATACCCTTTACCTATTTCTCTAAATTCAATTATCATTTTTGTGTTTGCTTTAAATGTTTTCCTACCCTGGGCTGTATTTCCATTAAATTTACTAATCTGTTTCGAAGAATACAAAACCTTTTTCCATTCACATAAACTACACTTGATTTTAAGGTGATGGGTAAAACCCATGCGCTTAGAAAAATTATCAACAATGGTAACAAGGCTGTAACAATCTGGACATCTAACATCTTCCACGATATCACTTAAAATTGAAAAATTGATAAGTATGAAATAATCTTTATTCACATTGTCACTTACAACTTGATTTCTATTTATCAGTGGCAGTAATTTTCTTGTACTTGCACAACTTGAAGCTGAAACAATATTCAGATTGCTTTTCTGTTGTCTTTCTGTTGCAATCGTATAACAATTTCCATGAAAAAATCTTTTCTTTTTTCCTCCAAAATTTTGCTTATTAGATACTTTAATGTTATTTCTTGAAGTACTCATTATTTATAATACTTGAGGTGAAATCTGAAAGGTTTATAACATCAAAATTAAACAGCATGCACTAAACTTGCTTCAAAAAACTGCCAAAATTTACAATGTTCCTTATTAAATATGTTCCTTAAAATTTTTTTTCAGTACATGAAAGCTAAGTAATTTTCCTTCAAAAATAAAAAATAAAACGATTTTTTTAAAATTTTTACATATTGTTTCTAGCTCTACCACCTTAAGCTCTACCACCTTAAATAATTTAATTGAAAAAAAGTTTTTGAGTAATGTAAATGGCTTAACACCTATGTAAAATCACCGTTTTCCTAAAATTCACATGGCATGATGCTTCTTAACAAGGTCTGCAATAGAATAGTGATGAGCTGGGTACCCAGTTTGGAACCGGTAATTCGGCTGTTTTACCGGGTACCCAGAATATACAAGTAAATAAGGAAAAAAAATTTCAATAGCTTCTTTTGTGTGAGAGAATTGTTTTACAATTGAATTTTTAGTAATTAAACCTTAAATGAGTTTTGGATACTCTGATCTAATTGAGTTGCGTAATTTAGTTGCGTAATTTGCTTTTAAATACAGTTTTTGTTTACAATAACTAAATTACAATTATTTGAAATAAACAACTGTATACAATAAACATGACTTCTTACATGTTTATTGTAAACAGTTGTTTAAAAAATAATAATATATTTATTATATAAATATATACATCTATATAGATTTATAATAATATATAGATACATATATGTATATATATATATATATATATATATATATATATATATATATATATATATATATATATATATATATATATATATATATATATATATATATATATATATATATATAATAATAATAATAATATATTTCAGGGTTTGCAAAAACCTGGGTTTTTGAGCAAAAACCCAACCCAACTGGGTTTTTGGGTGGGTTATTAGGTTTTTGGGTTTTTACTTAAGTTGCGTACAAACCTTTAGTAACAAAGTTTGATAAATTTATAGTTATTTAAAAGCTATTTTTAATTTTTTAAAGATATATTTTCTTATACAAAAGCATAATTTATAATCAGATTGCATTTCTTTCTAATATAAATTTATTGTTAAACTGAGTTATCTTTTTAGTCAAATTTAAAATAGAATTAAATTATACGTCTTTATTTGACATTAACATGTCAAAGTATAAATTTGAGGGAAGAAATTAGGCTAGTGGGTAGAATGAAGTGATCATATTAAGTGATCAACCAAGTACAGTAATATGTAATTATTGCAAAGAGAGCATAATTAAAAAAACAGTGAGAGTTAAGATCCATTTTGACAAATTCAGAAGTAAGAAAAAAGGAAACGCTAAGAATTCGGCAGAAGTATTTAGCAATACATCAGTTTTATAGTCAAGGCCATCTACATCTGCAGCATGAAACAAGTCTAACCAGTCAGAAGATAATGATCAAGATTACTTAAGCTTTATTAGTAAATCTTCGTCAGTTGTTCATTTAACTGCATGACGATGCAATGGTAAACATCCGTTTTTAAATTTGTTACTTCAACAACAAGTAAACAGACGAATGAACTGGATTTGCAGGTTAAAAGGTTTCTTTTTTTCAACAAATATACCTTTCAACATAGTAGAAAAACTTGACTTGACTACCTATAGAATAGAAAACAGATATCTTCAGAACTCTTATTAAAGGTAAACAAAGAAATAATCAATATAATGAAATGTGATCTTGATAATGATTGTGCTGTTATCCTAATTCAAGATAATTGCAGTACATTTAGTAATTGCTCATAGTATCAAGACGATACAAAGATGATATTTTACAGAGGTTTAAGAAAAAAATTGTTCCATATCATTTTCTGGCCAATTTTACAGATCCAAAATGTAAAGGTAACCATAAAATTGGAAAAAATTTAAAACTTGCATCTGATCAAATTAAAATAAACACTGATAAATTTTCTTTTAAGTTAACTACTTTTATAACTGTACCTATTTATTTAGAAAGAACCTTGGATAGAAGTCAAGAAGAAGCTGAGGAATGGCTGAGGAATGAAAGAAACTTGGATAGAAGTCAAGAAGAAAAAGCTGAGGAATGGTTAAATAAAGCCTGATTTAGGAAATATTTAGGAAAATTAGGAATCTTTTAGGAAGAGGAAAAGCAAATAATGCTTGTAGGAATTACATCATTAAGTTCAAGATGAACAATTGCTGATGACTAAGCTGTTTTAACTTTGTTTTAAACCTTTAAGTTTAAATATTTCTACTCCAAATAAAATAAAATCTCATTTATGATTCACTAAACTTCTTGTTTTTATAACAATTTTTGAGCAGCATCAAATCCTGAGTGTGAATGGAAATTATGAATAAAAATATTATAAATGCAAAAACCCATTAAGTTAGGTTACTAAAGACCAAAAACCCATTAAGTTGGGTTTTTGGTGGGTTTTCGCTCTTGGGTTTTTGGGTTTGGGTTTTTGGGTGCCAACCCTCATATATTTACTACATAAATATATATTTTAATTTTTTATTTTTCAATACATAACTTTTGACTAATTAGCGCATATTAGAAATAAATATTTAGCAATAAACTACAAAAAAAGTATATATTATATATAACAGTATCGCAAAAGAAGTTTGAACAAAAAGTTTTCAAAAAGAAATTGCTTTATTATATATATATATTATTTTTTTATTATATATTTTTCTTTTCGCAAAAGGAGTTTAAACAAAAAGAGAAATCTGACACAAAAAAGTTCAAAAAATTTTCATTAAACAGCAATTTAATGAAAATCAAGAGTTATTTTTATTAGAAAATTTTGATAATGAATAATTTCAATATAATAACTAAAAAGAAAATGAAAAAAAAATCAAGTAACATAAAATGAAATAAAGTGACAGTAACAGTAGAAGTGGATAAACTTATTTAGAAAAAAACTTCAACATTTTGTGGACATTTTGGAATTTCTGTTGGAATACAGACAGGATTATTAGCATTATTTTTAATGGGGAAATATCAATCTTCATGAAATTTTTAAAGACAAAAGTAAAAAAAATAAGAATAAATTTATATGTAAGCGAATCAAAAATAATAAGGGAAAAAATAAAAAAATGTAAAAATAGAAATCTAATTTTGCAAATCGATACAAAAAATGTTTAAGCTATAAATGAAGACTATATATGTGTAGTAAAGGAACGCCTAGCTATTGTTGTTACAAGTCCAGACTGAGATTTAATTACAAATGGAAAGCAACTAGATAAGCTGCTAGGCATATTTGGGAGCATATAGGGGGAAAGGATATGATCAAGCATTGGCATGTTTTATTGTTACAAAAAAGTTTGGAATTAAAAGTTTTATTGGACTTTGTTCTTAAACAAAAAACAGAAAGCAAAGGTCCATCAAAATCTATATACACAAGATTCAAAGCGGCTAAATACATTATGAAAATGTCAAAAAAATATGAATCAGTGATCAAAGTTTCCATGGTGCAAAGTTAGTGGAACTCCATTAGCAGATAAAAAAAATTTATCTTTTTGCAAAAAAGCAATGGAAAATTTTTCCCAGAAATGATTATAAACATCTGTGTCAAATGTTATTGTTTTTTCTAGAAGGAAGAAAGGCAGTTCCTGGATTTATTATATACAAACCAGTTGCAGAACATAAAGCTGGATTTATGACAGACACTACCATAACATAATACAGAGTTAATTTTCCATTTTATAAATGTAACTCAAATAAATACTCAATAAATTGTAAAAAAAAGTTCAACTTTTTATAAGAAACATTTAACTGACTTTTTTACGTATTACAAAATATGTTTGTAAAACTTTAAAGAAGTTTTTCACATTTTATACAGTAAACCTTTATTTTTTATGTTTGTTAAGAACAATATTCGGATTCCTTATAAACAAACTTGTTATATACAAGTTTTATTAATTTTTTTACTGAATATTTATGAGTATTTTGATACAATTAAAAAAATAGTAAAAACCAGGTCTTTAAAAAAAACCAGGTCATATTTCAAAATGTGTTATCTCAAAAAATTTTCAACATTTTGAGCTGAAATTTTATACCAATTTTCCTAATAGTAGAGCCACCTCACACACACAAAAACTATTAGTTCTGGTGATCCTTGTTCCAATTAAGATCCTTGCTCCAATTCAAACTCTCAAGGAGGTCAGAGAAATTTAAATTTTTTCAAAACTTTTTTCGGACTTGTCTTGTATAACAACAAAGAATAGGAAATTAAAATTGTAGTTTTTCTAAACCTTAAAAACGGACCTGCTTAGTAAGCATGCATAAAAATTAATTTTATCAAAATAATGCTCAATCAGCATTTTTCCATTAAATGAAATTTATTAGAAATAATTACCACAACAAAAGATATTAAACAGCTATATTAAAAACTTGATATAAATAAAAATAATTAAACCTCATGTCATTAAAAACGATCAAATGTTCACAGTTTCCTTGGTGAC